CAGTGAACTAGCATGTGAAGCGTGAAGCACGATATCTCGTCTTTTAATATGCAAGTAATTGCACAAAACAAAACATGATCACGTAAATTGCGCGGGATAGCGGAGTATCGTCGATCAATTACCTACACTTTAGATCCGACCTACAATATCGATTATTATCTTCACAATATATATCCTGGGTATTTTATATTTCAGGACAAATGTAAAAGACTTTGATGTATTATTTGAAAGGTAATTCTGAGTACATAATGTAATATGAATATAGATCTTTTGTGTTATCGATATTTTCAGAGTTACAATAAAAGTTTAATTGCTATCAAATTACAGGCTTGATATTAATTAATTTTCAAAAACCAAACTAAATAATATAAAATATCAGATTAATTATTTACATAAATAAATAAATAAATAAAATAAATGAACTTCAAACTGTTGTAATTACGTAAATGGGATCTGTATTAATGACATTTTTATTCAGAATGAACTCCCACACAATCAAAGTTTTTTATATTCATGTAAAATATTCTGTACACTCGCGCGCGCAAGCATATATATATATATATATATGTGTGTGTGTGTGTACACAGATGCTGACACACACACATTCAATACGAAGTTTAGACTTGGAAGGAGACATTATGTTGGGCACGAGTGTCGAGCATATGATTGTGCGCCGTTTACGAAAGATACCGAATGGGATTCATTCCCAAATTATGTTTTTCTTCGAAGTGGCGTCTAAGTCGTCTAACCCGCGGATACGCCATCAATGATATTTATAGTGTGGGCTGAGCTTTGTCCTGGATACAAATATGGGACCAACGAAGTAGAAGCAATTGGAGATCGAAGTGAAGAGGAAGATTGTGTAATTACATCTTGCATGAACTTTTTGCAGACAGGACGTATTTCCTTGGACAATGTGGCGCTGAACATCATGACTTGTTTACTGTGTGGCGTGCTTCTAAATATTTCCTGTACATCTCTGCGCATATCTGTAACATAATAGCAGTATAAATGATTATTTGTATTTTATTTAAAATTACATATTAAAAAAGTAAATTTTAAAGAAATACTCAGTAATTGGGTAGTGGTAAAGCATAGTCATCATAGCGTAAACTAAGATTGTCTTGTACATCATGTTACGATTCTATCCAATTATATAAAATATAATAAAGTTTAAGTTGTATTTATAACGCACCTAACAACTCGAGCATCTTGTCACATTCATCAAGTATAAAATGTTTCAGATGTTTCAGATTCAATTTCTTATTCCGTACAAGAGCGAGGATACGACCAGGGGTGCCAACAACAATATGAGGACATACAGTTTTCAAGACTTCTTCATCTTTCTGAATAGGTAAGCCACCGAAAAATACACCAACCTATAGTAAAGAAAAAATTTAAGTTATAAATTACAAAGTTTAGAAGGAAATATATTTATCACATTTTTTTATAAATGATGACATAAAATATTCAATAATAATGACATTAATGGGTATTTATCAAAGAGAATTTACATGTATTAATTTAAAATGACTAAAAAAAAATAAAGATTTAAAAGTTGCGCAACATTTATTATTCTACTGATTTATATATAGCTTATAAATAATTAAAACTTAATAAAACTTACTTTTACATGTGGCATGTATTTACTAAACCTCTCATATTCTTTACTGATTTGGAAAGCTAGTTCTCGAGTGTGACACATCACTAAGACATAGACTTGATTTTCCGTTAATTCTAGCTGTTGAAGAGTAGCTAATACAAACACAGCAGTTTTTCCCATGCCAGATTTTGCTTGACACAGTATATCCATGCCAAGTACTGCTTGAGGAATACATTCATGTTGTACTGTAAGTAATAAACACTCATGTTTTGTTCACATACAATAAGAAAAAGACATGGCTATAGATATTAGACATAGTATCAGAAATACTTAATCGATCATGAAACTTCAGTTGTCCCTATCTAGTATTACAAATATTCATCATGTATTTTTTTAAATAAATTAAAGCGGAAACTATTACAAACTGAATAAATGTGCTATTCACCTTCGGATGGATGTTCAAAGCCACAATCGACAATAGCACGTAAAATCTCTGGTTTAAGAAGAAAATCTCTAAATCCACTGCTGTGGATAGAAACATATGTGCCCTTTACTTCTTTGTTCTTTGCAGGAACATCTCCACTTCCATCGACTACTTGTTCAGTCTGTTCTTCATCCTCATAATCCAAGAGATCGTCATTATCCGCCATTATATCGTCCCGAATTTATTACAGTAAGATTACTGAAATCAAGATTGAAATTTTCAAAATTAGATATAATAGTGCAAATTGAGAAATTATCTCATATATAAATCAAGAAATTAAACATTTTTATATTTTTGGTAAAAAAAAAGCAATAAAGATGAAAAAAAATAGATTACTATTTACGGACCAAGTCCATTCTTGTTTCGATTTTCTCATATATATTTTTTTTGCATTTTGTAAAATATTATAAAAGATTATGATATATATATATATATATACATACAAAATGTGTAGAAATATAAACAAAAAGAATAATGTGCGCTCTCTCTCCCTCTCTCTTTGTTAAATTAATCAATTGTGTGGAAATTATGCATATACAGAAATAAATGCTAATTTCCTTTTTCGCTTTCTTAAAGATAATAGATGTTAAATCTCGATAAAATTAATATTACATCTTATATGTATCGCGTTCGTTTTCCGTGATTAACACGAGCGAATTATCCATAAAAATATTATTTTATTATCATTGTATTCTTGAAATAAGGATCCTGCGCCGAAAAAGCGTTCGCGTAATGGCCGTCGCTTTGATGCCATGCTATTAACCGCGAAAATGCTATTCATTGAATACCGCGCGTGAAAGTATACAATTTCAAAAACTCGAAAGCTATCGAACAATAAAAAACGGCGATAAAACAATGCATATAAAAAAGAAATATATTGTTCACATTATATTTATCGAAACATTTTCTTGACGGCAACCATCCGGTGCTGAGAAAGGGACGCTCGTGTATCGTAAAATTACTTTAGCTTCAAAAATATATATCCGATCTAAAACGGAAACTTATAGAATTTTACCAAAATTCGAAAAAGCACGGAATGTTATTTCATACATTTTGCAAAGGGATTGCTTTTTTTTATTGACGATGAAACTTGGATTACGAAAACAAGCACTCCACTTACCGTAAACGGACTCCGGTTAATTTCAAGCAACTTCAATGGATGACTGTGGCTGTGGAGAGTGGAGACTGGATTCTGGATTCTGGATTACCGGATGACGCCAACCGACCATATGTAATACATAGACGAAGCATTTGGCTGCTTCAACGCGTTAAGCCCGTTCTACATTGATCGCATGTTTTTTAACTGTCGGTTAATCTAACCGAGCTTGGTGAAATTGGCCCTAACCAATCAGAATAAATAAATCTTTACTCTTTTTGTCCTGTTTGGTCAATCGAACGCTTCGAAGCATTTCTAGCGTCTTACCGATCGTAGCCTGCGTCCAATTGGATACATCGGACATCGGACATCGGACGCAATGTAAATCCTCCATTAACGAGTTAAACTCCGGTTATAGTAAGTTGTGGAACCGGGCCTAAAGCCCGTATCAGACTACGCATTGAAAATTGAAGATTAAAGCCCGTATCAGACTATGCACTGAAGATTGAGATTCAAGATACAAAATTGAAATTTGACTAATCAAAACAAAGTCCCTTTTAGCTTTTTTTATTTTTGCAAAATAAAATAGATGCAATCTAAATTTAATTAAATTCTTTGAAATAAATGTAAATTTCTAATTTTCTTTTTTTGTCTATTATTTCAAATATCATTTTTTGTTTGTATTTTATAGGAAAATATATTAGAAATAAATTCTTTTCTTTTTATATATGTATATACATAATTTGTAATTTTCTGCTGAATTTAAAAAACGCTAATTTTTCCCTTTTTTTGTTTTAAATACATACTGAGTAATATAGTAGATATTTCGAATAATTAATATTTAAAGGGAGAGAGAAAGAGAGAGAAAAAGAGAGAGAGAGAGACAAACACTATAACATATATATATTTTTACACACTCACTACAAAAGTATATATTAGCTTGAACGGTAAGTTTGTTCCGTTTTTTGCAAATAGATGAAAACCGAAAAAACGGCACAAACTTTCCGTTCAACCCAATATAATTAGAATATAAAAATTGTTTGGAAATACATGAATAATTTATTTACAAGTAAATAAATGTAACACATGAACGAAACATGTGTAAAAACATTTATGTATTTTTATTAACATTTTTTACATTTTTAATAGTTACATTATGATCTGTGCTTCGCATTTATTTTATACAAAGATAGATATAATGGATTGACAGTAATGCGTACCACTCTCATCCGCGTAAACCGCATGAAGCGTTATTTCTCACATAATATTTCAATTTCGTGAAACGATAATTTCTTTTTCTTTTTTTTCATCCGTTTTTTCCTTTACAATTTCAAACGGAAATATTTTATCTAAAGTTTCGCTGTTGCTCATCCGCGGAGTTTGTCTTTTCTTTTTTTATTTTTATTTCTATCAAACTGCTACTCACACTGACGAAATCGTACACTTGACGCAACGTTATACGACAATTGTCTATGTGTGTAATATAACATAATTTTTATGCAACGTTATTAATGCATTAAAGGCTGTGTTCCGATTCCCCACTCGGGTGTACCCGATAGTATACGTGACATATACTATAATATCGGGTGCATCCGGGTGGGGAATCGGAACACAGCATTATTTTTATTACATGTTGACATTGAAATGAATTAATAAATTGGATCCCCAATATAGTAAGACAAAAAAAAATATACACTTATACATATATGAATATCCTCTCATAGGCTTGTTAATTATGTTTCCTATTATTTCATATATATATACAGTATTCAATGAATTGTATCTCTCTGTCTCTGTCTCTCTCTCAGTTAATTTTCTTTTAGTAAGATTATTATGCACATTATAAGATTTATAATGTTGTTTGTAAAAATAGGAGTCTATTCCTATCATGAATTATATTAGATTAAAAAATAGCTAAAAAAATTAATGCTATCAATGTTTATAAACTTTTTCTTCAATTTAATCCATTTTTTCTGTAGTTATATTTACCTAATAATGTGAAAGATGTTCTGTGCATTATATATATAATCTTGTATAAAATTTTCATGCTAGTAAATTATAACTGCAACAATATAAATTTTTTTCAAATCAGTTACAAAAACATGCTTCAAGATGTACATTTGATCAATGTGAGTTGCTGCAAAATACATGAATTATTTTCAGTACATTTTTCATTCTCGATTCTGTCTCTTGCTATCACTCTTTACTTTTACATTTTCAAGCTGCAATTAAAATTTATCTCAATCACACACTGACATTAATATCAAAGAAATTGCAACAGATTTATAACAAAAAAAACTAACAGTCAGGCAACAGTTAGGCACTATTAACAAATTATATACTCTATATATATATTCTGTCCTGTACGGACATAGTCAGTAGGCTGTTAGATTGTTAGAGAAGATTTATCTCAATACAAAAAATAAATTCCTCGTTAAAAATTGTTTCCAAAATAATATAATAGGAATTAGCTTGTCGCAACATGAAGCTTTTTATATACACAATGTTTTAAATAAAATTAATAACTAAAGAAACCATAAATTGAATTCCTCAAAACATTGAAATAATTAACAGCACAGTATCGTAACTGAAAATATATTTGTGTGTACAAAAACAAATAATCTCTTTGACATCAATGTCACACGTTTGCTTGATATATTAGAGCATAGATGTTATATCTCTTCAACATTGTAATTATTTAAAAACCTATTGACATAAGCATGTGGATGAATTTCACCTGAGCCATAATTTTAGTCGCAATGCATCCACACCATTCAAGTAATATCGAAATAATCGTTTATCACGCACAAATCCAAGATTCTCATATAGACGTAGCGCTGGCCTGTTAGTGATTTCCGTCTCCAGAACTACCTCGTCCGCATCGTCCTTCACCATCGCCTGAATGGCTCGCCTCACGAGATTCGATCCGATCTTCCGTTTTCGAAACTTCACATCAACAGCTAGCATCGCAATATAGCCGCGCTTTATCACCTTCCTATGGATGTCCAGTTTGCAGACGATGGCACCGACGCACTCGTCACCATGCATCGCCTTGATGAACAAAAAGTAAGTTTTCTATAAGTTCTATACCTGAAAGTCAAAAGAATCAAACCAAAGCTGTAACTAAATTCTTTTTTATTCTTTTACATTATTCAAAGCCATATTAAGACATGTTTTGAAAGTCCCGACACAAATTATACAAATAAAACTCACAAAGTTCTTACTAACATTGTAACACTTGCATAATATTACATATACCAAGTATCGTTCAAATACGACAATAGGTTAAAGATCTTCTAGAGCGCACATACCAGGAAGCACAATTTCGGCCAGTTATGAATAAAATATCTATATGTGTAAATAGAATACGGTTCACTTAGGTCCTTCTGTATTAATTTCATAATATCAGGCATTTGTAGTTCGCTCATATAGCTAACATATTGGATATCGTTGTCTGTACTTTCCATGGCTAATGTTTCTGGTTGTTCTGTAACATGACAAAAAATACAAGTTTTAGTTAATTCTCAGCATTCTATGTAAACAAGAAGTACACAATTATTGTAATTATAGTTTTTTTTTACAAATAATATATATCTTAAACTTGACATATATAGTTTATAATTTATAAAGATTAATAAAAAAATAACTCTTTGAGATGGAATAGTCTGTTCCAAGTCAGCATTTAGCTTGGCATCAATAAAAAAATATATATCCCAAATACTATACAAAGAGAGATTAGCGTGTGTTATAGATCTTTTACAGTAATAGACATAGTAATATGAATAAACGATAAAACACTTGCATGTATATTATTTCCATATAGTCTTTTTACTTTATATTATCATGCGTATAAATTAAGTTTATCTATTGCATTTCTCTCTACATTTCTGTGCACAGTAAGTAAGAAAGCAGCACCACATAATACCATGTTGGTTTAAATGACTAGCTTCCATTGTTTCGGATTGTGGAGAAAGATCGGTGACGGTGACATCGGCAGTTCTTTGAGGAGAATCGCAGACACCGTTCACTTGAGCTATCCCGTTAACATGAGGCTCGTCGCAAGCCTCTTCTGTCTTGTCCAAACTAAGACGTGATTTTATATCTAGGGTCGCGACGTCTGCAATCGAGCTTAGTTTCTTTTCTTTGATTTTGACCGCCGCCGTTTCCGAATCACTTATTTCCGCGTTATCTTCCACCTTGCCAGTTTCCATTTTTGAATTTTCTTTTTATTTCTCAAAATTTTCCGTACACCAAGGAAGACAGGAGTTCTCGGCCACTGTCTTCGAGGCACCGATCTCTTCACGGCTGTCAATCGTGCGCGAGACACAGTGGCATGAGAGTTTTCACGTGCAACGCGATCCTTTCAATCGAATTTTCATAATTACTGTTATCTACGCAGTCGGCGGACAATGATTTTATCTCAAAATACGAACATCCGATGTAAACCGCTGAACGAGAGACACCATATTGGATTTTCTGCGGTTACTGCTACAATCACGGAACATGATATTTACGAGAGTTTTGAGTTCCGAGCAGTTCCGAGTTCCGACCCCGATCTTCTGATTTCCGACTACGATAGAGACACTGGCCTTTATGCCCGTATCAGACTACGCATTGAAAATTGAAGATTACAATCTTCAATGCGTAGTCTGATACAAGCTTTAGCGGGATTCAGTAACTTGCTATCGACAGTTTTCGGTATCATTAACTAGCGACAGCCAATGGCAAGGACAATCCTGGTGAAAAGCGCAATTCTCATAGGCTATCGCTCGCTAACGACAACGATAATCGTCGTTTTGTAGATCGGACATTACAATCTCGATAGAGACTTTAAAAAGTCTCCATTCGATAGCCAATTGCGTGAAGTTGTGCCTATCCGTGTTTTCTTCCGCATCCAATCGAATTCGTTAATAGAGAAACTGCAATGACCAATGGACATATAGAAACACGTCGAGGCTCGAGATATATCGAGGTTAATCGAGGTTAGTTGAGGTGACGTGTCGTAGTATCTTTCCATTTTTTGAAATTTTATAAGACCTCGCAATAAAATGATTGCGTTTAAACGAGACAAGAAGGAGGAAGAAGATGGTAATTATTAAGTAACTGCATTGTTATTATTATTTGGACAAGCATTGATCGTGTGCAAGTTAAAAATTGCACGTCGATTATTATAGGTTAATCTTTCTCTTTCTCTCTCTCTCTCTCTCTCTCTCTCTCTCTCTCTCTCTCTCTCTCTCTCTCTGACAGCTACTAATAAACACACATTTTCAAGTGTCAATAATAAATATAGTTTTGAAATAAGCAATAAATCTTATATAATTATTGTCTAGAATTTTTTTCTTGAAAATGTCCATTTTTCACTATTGCACTATACAAGATTCAATATTTAACGCTAAATTATATTGCCATCTGTCTTTCTTGTTGAATTAGGTGGTGGGAATCCTTTTCAAAACTTGGAAAAGACTACAGTTCTTCAAGAAGCACGTACATTTAACAATACACCGGTAAATCCAAGAAAATGCGCCCACATTCTTACAAAGATCTTATATCTACTCAATCAGGGCGAACAATTGGGTACAATGGAAGCCACAGAGGCTTTCTTCGCTATGACCAAATTATTTCAATCACGCGATGTCATATTGAGACGACTAGTTTATCTAGGTATCAAAGAATTGAGTTCTTTAGCCGAGGATGTAATTATAGTTACTTCCAGTCTTACAAAAGATATGACAGGAAAGGAGGATTTATACAGGGCTGCTGCCATCCGGGCACTTTGTACCATTACCGATGGCAGCATGTTGGCAGCCATTGAACGATATATGAAGCAAGCTATAGTCGATCGTTCACCAGCTGTATCCAGCGCCGCTCTTGTTTCTTCTCTGCATTTGACGAGCGTGTCTGGCGACGTTGCGAGAAGATGGGCAAACGAGGCACAAGAGGCGTTAAATTCTAATAACGTAATGGTTCAATATCATGCTTTGGGTGTTCTGTACCAAGCGCGTAAGACGGATAAGCACGCAGTGATCAAGCTGGTCGCTAAACTTATGAAAACTAGCCCAAAGAGCCCTTATGCAGCATGCATGCTAATTAGAATGGCATATAAATTATTAGACGAGGTAGACGAAGGTGAGGAATTGATAGGTTTCATCGAGTCGTGTCTACGTCATAAATCCGAGATGGTGGTATACGAGGCGGCGCACGCTCTGGTCAATCTTGGACGAAGCGGCGCCAGAGAGATTGGACCTGCAATTAGCGTCTTGCAACTGTTTTGCGGCTCACCGAAACCGGCGCTTCGATTTGCTGCTGTTAGAACTCTGAACAAAGTCGCGATGTCTCATCCAGCGGCAGTCACTGCGTGTAATTTGGATCTGGAAAATTTGATTACAGACTCAAATAGATCGATTGCCACTTTAGCGATCACTACTCTTTTAAAAACTGGTGCGGAAAGTTCAGTGGACCGTTTAATGAAGCAGATTGCTACATTCGTGTCGGAAATTTCAGATGAATTTAAAGTAGTAGTGGTACAAGCCATCAGGTACATTTGATGCTGCAAAATACTTAAATAAATAAAGGTTTTTCTAATATATGCATGTCTTTATTTTTTTAATTCTTTTTTTGCACTTTTTTCAGGGCTCTGTGTCAAAAGTTTCCTCGTAAGCATGCAGTTTTGATGAATTTTCTCTCTGCCATGTTGAGAGACGAGGGAGGACTTGAGTATAAAGCGGCGATCGCCGACACTATTATAGCCGTAATGGAAGGGAATGCGGAAGCCAAGGAAGCGGGGCTCGCGCATCTCTGCGAATTTATCGAGGATTGTGAACACATCTCCCTCGCCGTTCGTATTTTGCATTTACTTGGTCAGGAAGGTCCAACATCGAAACAACCGTCGAGATATATCCGTTTCATTTATAATCGCGTTATCCTCGAGAGCGCTAGCGTGCGCGCCGCAGCCGTTACTGCTTTAGCGCGTTTCGCCGCCGCTTGTCCGCCTTTGCTTCCGAACGTGTTGGTGTTGCTGTCGCGCTGTCAATTGGATTCGGACGATGAGGTTCGCGATCGTGCGGCTTACTATTGTACGATCTTACAGCAGCAAAACGATCCGACTATGCTGCCGTTAGTGCAACCACCTGCGCTGTCCGTGCCGACCCTAGAAAGAGCTTTGCGAAACTATATGCAGACACCTATGGAAGAATTGTTCGACATTTCTCAGGTATTATCCGATTTTCTTATAATATCGATCGTTAAGAAGACAAGAGACATGTCACAAGATTGACAATTCATATTTGATACATGTCTTCTTTTTTCTCCTGTCGGAAAGTTTCCGATTAATTTAAAAAATAGAATCTATATTTATAATATTATTTACTAATGATTATCGAATCATGTATTACAGATACCTCCAGCTCAGACGATAGAAGAACCAGCCCAGGTGGAAGTGCATACCACTATCAAGCAGCCTCGTTTGACTAGAGAGGAAAGCTTTATGGAGAAATTATCACAGATCCCGCATTTAGCCATAATTATTCGAGATATGTCGCTCCTTAAATCTTCGTCAGTATTCGAACTAACCGAATCCGAAACAGAGTACAATGTCAAATGTATCAAGCACACGTTTCCCGAGTATCTCATCTTGCAGTTTGACTGTGTCAACACTCTTATGTAGTGGTAGCTGTTGAACCTTCTGAAGGGTGATTATCGATGTGGCTTTATGTATACGTTACTTTGCATATTATTCTTGCGGCAAATATAACGAATCATTTCTATTTCCAGCTACTCTGTTGTATGCGTGGTACCGTGTCCACGATTACCTTATAACGAGCCAGGAACCACTTATACAGTATTAAAATATCCGGAGGATGTACATGCGAGCGTCGCTACCATTCCTACGACTCTTCGATTTATGGCGAGGGATTGCGATCCAACGACGGGAATACCAGATGCAGATCAAGGATACCATGATGAGTACATGGTAAAAAAAATTAGTTTTATAATATAATAAGAATAATATTCGTATGTGTATTTCTGACCATATATGTGAATGGTTGACAAAATGTGTGAATACACTTGATGAGAGACATAATTTTTCTTTTCTTTTTTTTTTTTTTTTTTTTAAATTTTTTTTAAGGGAAATATATTTGACAATTTTGTTCAAGAGCAATATATTTGAATATTTTCTTTATAACATAATTTTTGTTATACTATCGAAATTATTATTCTCTACATTTATATTTTAGTTGGAGGATTTGGAAGTGACTTTAGCCGATCAAATACGTGGCGTTGGTAACAGAGGCTTCGACTTTAATACCGCTTGGGATACATATGCTGCAAAAGGATTTGTCAAGCTAGAGGAGACATTCGCCTTGGGAGCCTCGGTAACTTCTTTGGAAGGAGCGATTCAAAGTCTTACAGGATTTCTGGGCTTGGAGGCTGTGGAACGCAGTAACAAGATTCAAAGCGGAGCGGCTGCGCACAATTTGCTCCTAAGCGGTGTCTTTCGAGGGGGAAAGGAAGTATTAGCGCGCGCAAGATTAGCACTGAACGGAACACAAGTTACCATGCAGCTATCTGTTCTTTGTCAAGATCCAGATGTTGCTGATTTAATAGTTTCGTCTGTAGGATAGATTATATAGAATTATTTTTATGATGCAATATTATCCTTTTTGTTTTGTGTCTTAGAATTAATATATGTATATTACCTGACTTTTCATCAAGGAGTACAGTAATCATTGAACAATCTCCTAATATATATAAAGCAATATTGATATATTCTTTATGTAGGTGCGATTTCGGTCAAATTTCGTACTATATAGAACGGTCTGTGTTATTAATTATGATAACTGCAAAACATGATACTATGTTTACATAAAAAAAAATAAAAGTCAAAAACACAGAATAAAATTTTCTCATATATGACTTTGTGCTTTCAAAGAAAAATCAATTCTAAAAATTGGAAGATTAATAATATATTTCTTTTTTTGAACATTGTATAATATAAATTAATATACACAACCATTTACAAATTTTATCTCAGATAAAACAAATGAAACAAAATCTAATATTTTATTTTAAAACTAATAAAAAAATATTTGCTTGTATGCCAAATGGATAATTTATAAAATATTAGGATTATATTAAGACTACAAAATATATATATCACATTTTTATTCATAAAATTCTCTGATAGAATTACAGTGTTAAAGGCATTTGTTAACCTATACAAGAATGTCCTCAAAAATAATATAAACTTAAAATAAAGGAAAAATGTTTTCATTTTTTAATTTCTGAAATATTTAATTTATCGAAAATGACTTATTATATCTGAAAAAATATTTTACAAACTTAATCTATTTTTTTTAATGTACATTATTTCTTTCTCCTAATTGTATCACATCTATATATACCTAAATATATAACTTGACTTATATATCGTAAAGTAATTCCATTTTTCTAAATATTTATTTGTTTGGTAAGTTTAATAAATACAATCCACAAAAAATAAATAGGGAAAATTGTCAATATACACATTAGACCTTTCTCTTTTATACATATATTTATATTTTGCATTTACACAAATTAGTTTGTGCTTTTGTTCGAGAATATATTATAAAAGTGTTAAATAATGTATAAATATATTATCAAATATTTACAGAGTATATTTTCACACGATTGCCGTACTGTCATTATTGCTTGATTATTTATACAACCGTAAAAAAGTTCAATATTATAAAAGAATACTCTTGTATCATAGATATGAGAATATTCTTTTCTGGCAGGAGCTCATCAGCCAAATTGATATTTTTTCTTGGTTGTCTATCAAGCTGAATGGCATTGCAGGGATAAAAAAAAAACTTTAGTAGTAGATTATCTCAACTGCGTATACAGCACTCATGCCAAGTAAATGCATTATAAAAATCTATTATTAATTAACATCAATTCTTTGTACGTTTCATACAATCAATTTTGAATTTAATCCACCATCTCATTGATTGTTAAAATACCATGAAAGCTGCAATTATATTGCATTTTTAAATGTGTATATGTACATTAAAGAAAAATTTAAATTTTGAAAATTTGTATATGTACATTCAATAAATATAATTATTATGTTAGCTGCTTGCACGATTGATAATATTGTAAAATGAGTGAAAATTATGATTACTTGTAAAGTAAGATTGCTGCAAGTTGCTCCTTATCAAGTCTTGAAGTTTTATGTTAAATATTAGGCATATATGTATGCAATTTGCTTTTGCACCAATGAGAATGTATTCTAAACAAATACTGAAATAATATGTGAATTCTAATGCGTAATTCATAATTCCGCCCAGATAACAATCACAAATCTAATCGACATTAACATATTGACCTGTGACAGTAGCAGTTTGATGATATCTTCTTCTTCCCGAAAAGTCTTCGTTCTCTTCGTTTAATTGAGCCGAACATGTTTCAACACCTGGATGTATTGGCGTTACTACAATTTGTTCGTAATCATAAACTTTTCTCCTACAACAATGAAATACAATGTAAAGAAATATTGATATTATGGCAATGAAAAAGCTTCACATACATGTACCCTCTTTCTTTATTTCTCTCACAAATTTTTTAGAAATATTTTAGTCAAACATAATAAGTTTAACTTTAAGGAGAGGGAGAAAAAAAAATCCGAATTTTAAAAAATCAAAATGTGATTGATTTTGTGGAATTCATTGATTCAATATAATACTGTATAATATTCAATAATCAGGTTTACCCCACAAGTCTAAGTAATGCAGTCCGAAGCCATTTAAAAAATTGGAATTCTGCCGAGACTCCAGGTTTAACAGCAGGGTTGGCGTGGCCGACATAACTCCAGACGAGAAATACCACGACGATATTAACGATAGCATATCCCCAATGTACGAGAAACATTATAAGCAATTTTACAAGACACTGCAATGTAAATGTACACAAAATATAATTAAAAAAAATATTTTAAAACAAATTTTTATTATCCCTGTTTGCACAAAGAAATAATACTTTTTAGCAGGCATAATAAATCTTTCAATATGCTCAAATACTTACACCCAATAACGAAAACCATCTATTGCACAAAGGACTGTACCAATTTTCTAATTTATTATGTATATGAACTTTTCGTTCTGATGCACTGATAACGCTAACACTATCCTCAATACTTGGTGATGAATCCACATATACATTATTATCGGAAATGCTGTTATTTCTCTGGAAAAATTATTGTTATTCGATAAAGTTGTATACATCAAACAACGTTAAATAATAATGTTGTGTATTTCAAAAAAATGCACATGATTTCTTACCACAAGATTCTTATGCCTTATTCTCTCGGGAAATAAGCTGTCTAAATCATTATCCGTATCTGTCATCGAATTGTTTCTACTTGCAGAGCCGTAATTGCGATCGAACGTTGGAGACTGTGTACGAAATCTTTGCTCGCGCGTATGCCGAAGATCAAATGTTTGCGCAAGAGCGAAATACGCGTAATCTAAGCACGCGTACGTAAGTAAAAAAGGCATTGTCACGATTGGTGCAAGTGTATTAATTTGCCCAGTAATGATAAACGTCAACGTTACCATAGCAACAACCAGCATAGCATATATAGGTACTTTATTTGGTCCCCTCTGAAAATGTGTATTATTGCTGCTAATCAATTTCGTTTGTAGAATTTTATGATAAAAAAAATTTACATTTTTTTCCAGTTTTATCTTTTTTATATAGTCAATATTATATTAATTGAATTATATATATATATAATATTATATATGGTTTGATTTTTCATATTCTATCTAAATTTGTAAGACTCTAAACAACACGATTGCACCTAGAGTTTAAAAATAATTGATTGAAAAAGAAAAAACAAAAAAACAAATGTGGCAAAGGAAATAATCACCCCTCTTTGCAAACATCTCATTCCTGGTATGACATTTTGACTGGCGATAGACTGGAGAACGCGAGGTGTGCCATACATAGCACCCAAACAGCTACTAAACGACGATACATAGAGACCAGCGAGTAGCAGCACCGAAATTGCCGATACCGTGGATGCTATTGTAAAGTTTGTTAGTAAAGCGTTTCTGGCACAAGTGGCCGCAAGAGTCAGCGAAAAGCATAAATACAAAAATGTTCTGTAAAAAGAAATTATTTTAACATAAACGAAACGTTTTCACAAAAGATAACTAATATCAATGACAATTTTTCTTACCCAGTTCCTAATGCTGCCAAAGTACCATTGGGAATATCACTAGATGGATGCCTTAAATCTCCACTCATATTAATCCCAGCCAAAACACCAGTGACTGTTGGAAAGAACACACCAAACACGGTAAACCAATTATATCCATCTTGATAAATGGGGAAAGTGTTATTTTTTAAATTCCCCGATAACCAGCCTTCAAAACCAGAATCTGCAAGCATAAATGATATTGAATAACTTTAATTAAATTTATATTTGTTATATATATAACTTTACAATAGCATATATATATATACAAAAAGTGCTAAAAACATTCCATTTGCATTGTGAAACGTATATGTGTTTATGACACTTTCGACTGGATACATTATTTTACCAATGGTGGTATGAGTGAAACTTCCAACCATAAAATCGACACCAGCAAGGAGTAGGATCAAGAGAAGAATAAACTGCAATTTTACAACCCACTTAACACCAGCGACGTTAATTACAGATAACAGTACCACTGCTGCACATGCAAAACCACGTTGTGCCCATGTCGATTCCAAATCTACAAGGCCAGCCATTGATTCCCCAAAACCTAAAACGTTTAGAGCACAACCCACTGCCTGAAATAAAATCCACAAACAGATTCTTGGAATGTTGTAAAATAAAAAAAAAGTAATAAAAAAAAAGAATTTATTTGCCCTCACCTGTCCAAAACAGTAAAGTAATCCGATAGAACCGCCAAACCTAGAACCCAATACATGTGATAACAAAAAGTAAACTCCGCCACTTTCAACTCTACACCGTTCACATATTCCTACAGCTGACAATACTGTCACTAATGCAATACACACTGCAATCAGTACGTTATAATAATAATAATAATAGATATATCAATTGTATATATTCGTGTTTCGTAAGCAATAATATTACCTGTACAAAAAATGATCAATATGGCATTTAAAACACCTGCCTGACCAACTATCCAACCAGATCTCAAAAATACAATTACTCCAAATATATTAATAAGACAAGATGTAAAAACTCCATCCCAAGTACCAAACAATACAGGCTGAGAGATGAAGAAATTTGATTTCCACCAAGGATCTGAACTCTAAGAGAGATTTAATACAAAAGACTGTTGTAATTATAATAATAACAATATTTGTTATGCGCGATTAATTAAAACTATTTTTCTTACATATTCTTGTGCGAACAATTCATTTGCTCCAGCCTGATACATTTCTGGATCGAGTGCATTGTTGCTGTCTCCATTGTGTCTTTTCTCATTTCTTTGCATTTCTGAATCTCGCAAACCGTATCTAGCCCAATCGACATCCCTGTGTACGGGGATGTCACCGTTTGGAAGTCTATTCTGCTCGTTTGATTCCATGCTTCTATGTAACAATTATGTACATATATATATATATATATATATATATATATATATATATATATGCATTTTAATAATTGTAACGCTGTACTTTATAGGGTGAACCTTTTCAAAAAATGAAGGATAGATTGCTAAAGAAATTAGGAGTACAGGAAAAAGAATTCGAAAAGGTAGGCATCCTTAGCTAATCTTTTTTGATCTCTTATGAGAATTCATAAAAAAACTTTGAAGTTTAAGTTCGCGGTGGTGTCAATGGGCAAGCCACAGTTCATTATCGACTCGCCGGACTGTTATATATATATATATATATATGTGTGTCGTATAAATTACATATCAGTTTCATTTTATTAATTTCGTCAGTTTTGATTCGCGTACAGTTTATTATAAAATTCTTTTACATCGGCATAACAATAACGTACCTTTACATAATTTCGTAATCTGCAATCTTTGCGCGATATACTTTACGATACTTACGGTACTAGTACATATAGGTTAGAATATAAAATCTATGAAATGATAAGAGCCTGTCTACAATAAGCAATGAGTAAAGAATAACAGGAATGAGTATTTGGTGTAGTGTTCCGATTAGGGACCGGCTGTACGCACATGCGTGCTTTTGCGCATGCGCAAAGGCGGTGAGAATATAGCAACGTACATACATAATGCGTGTAGACGTTGTAGCAGGACGTTATGGCCCGTGTTTGATTAATTATAATGTATATTTTTACCTATATATGTATATATTTTATTTCTTAATACATTTAAAAAAAATTTCTTTAATATTTTGAATGTAGCCGGCTAACAATCACTGACTACGGCCGGTTGTTCTCTGTTCTCTATTCCCTGTTCCCTAAGTGCCGGTCTACAATAGGTGATTTAAGCTCTAAGCCTTAAGAAATTGACTAATCACAGTCGAGTATTCTCCTCATTCTTGATTGTGATTGGTCAATTTCTTAAGTCTTAGGGCTTAAATCACCTATTGTAGACCGGCACTAAGCGGGGAGCAAATACTTTTGCATAAGCGCATAATCACAAGCATAAAGCCCGTTCTACATTGATCGCATGTCGCCAGTCGCAAACAAATCGACCAATCACAGTCACCAATCACAGAATATTCGACGGAATAATCGACTGTGATTGGTCGATTTGCTTGCGACTAGCAACATGCGATCAATGTAGAACGGGCTTAAAGCGGGTAGCACACACTTTTGCATAAGCGCATAATCATAAGCATAAGGAATTTGATTGGTCAATTTCCTTATGCATAAGGAAATGGACCAATCAATTTCCTTATGCTTATG